CACATTACAAAGGAACTGTCCAATAAATGATTAAGGAATGCAACCATTTTTATATAAATACAAGAAACTCGGCACTCATGCTGACTTTGTTTTCCTTCCATCAATTTGGGTTTTCACATCTCCTTATTATAGTTTGCCTGCATTGTTTTGCCTTTACTGGATTCATGTAATGTACTAAGCCATAGTACACTAGGTTTTGTTTTGTTAATGTGATGTGTGAACTAGTGGTGGTATTCAGCAGGTTCTGACCAGTTCTTGAGAACTGGTAGCGGAAATTTTGAGTAGTTTGGAGAACCAGCAAATACCACCTCTGACTGGAGATTTTACAGTCTCCTTCCCCTGCCACACCGACCAAGCCATGCCCACAGAACCGGTAGTAAAAAAAATTTGAATCCCACCACTGGTGTGAACCCAGCAGATTGTGTCTTATTTAACTAACACATTGCAGTTAAAAACAAAACTTGATCCAGTCTTGCCTCACAATGATATCCAAAGCACAGGACTTTCTAAAGTAATGAGCATTATGTTGGAAACCTGAAGAGTATATAAAAGATTTTGCTTCAGAATATTATATTAAAATTTAATTAAAATTTAATTAAAATTAACTCCTTATCTTGGAGGGCAAAATTCGTAATACTATTAGTTTCCTGCTCTTTCCTCAAGTAAAATAGTAAACAAACTTCAGATTTACAGAGTTTAGTGTATTTTGTTTTTATGAGACCATTAAGTCTACTAACCAGAAACTAATTGCAGAAAGTAACAGTCCAAAGGGCAAGTGCATTTTTGGAATTAAATGAGAAGGTACCTCAGAATGTTTAATCAGTCCAAACTTTCTTTTGAATTACTGGAGCTGAGGTCATAGCTTTAAAAAAAAAATTGCAACCAGTTTCCTCTTAAACTCTTTTAATTTCTGCCAGCTGGCCTTAAAAAAATCAAATCCTTTAGTTCTTATTATTGTTAAACAAAAATAATAAACTTTTGCTAAGTCAATTTACATTCCAAACTACAGTACTGTACTTCCCTTTAGTGACATAGTATGAATGGTGGTGTGCAAAGTGCCTATCCAAAGAGAAAATAGAAAACATGATGAAAGCGTGTCCAAGAAGCCTAGCTACATTTTTTATGTAGCTAGTTGTCCTATCTGTGCCTCAGCCAAATGGCCTCCTGGTAAACCAGCAGGCTTACTACAAAATGTGGCTAGACCAACGGCTCCATGGAAGGAAATCTCTATGGATTTTATAGTGGAATTACCTGAAAGTGGGGGGGAATACAGTTATTTGGGTAGTAACTGATTTGTTTTCCAAACAGGTACATTTCATACCTTGTCCGAAAATCCCATCTGCAAAAACGTTGGCTAAACTTTTTATTTTACATATCTACAGGTTACATGGGGTTCCTGAATGCATAATCTCAGACAGGGGTGTCCAGTTTACCTCAAACTTTTGGAAGGAGTTCCTGAAGTTATTGGGCTCTGCCCAGGGCTTAAGCTCCGCCCACCACCCACGAACCAATGGGGCTTGTGAGAGGACTAACTCAGTATTGGAACAATATGTTCGATGTTATATAAATTATCAGCAAGATAATTGGGCTGACCTACTGCCATTCGCTGAGGTGGCATATAATAATTCGGCACATAGTAGTACTGGGTTTACTCCGTTTAAAGTGGCTTCGGGGCAAGACTTTGTACCCATACCTGAGCTTCCACGGGAGAAACCTAACATTCAGTCATTAGATGAATGGATAACACAGCTCCAGCTTACCTGGCCGGTTACCCGTAAAGCATTAGATGATGCTCATCAAGCTCATAAAAAATTTGCAGATAAAAAGAGAACTCCACAAAAACCATATCAAGTGGGTGACAAGGTCTTTTTATCCACCAGATATTTGCAGATCACACAAAAGTCAAAAAAGCTTGGACCTAAGTATGTTGGACCTTTTTCAATTGAACGAATTGTGAACCCTGTGGCAGTCCAACTGAAATTACCAAAAACTCTTCGACAGATCCACCCTGTTTTCCATGTTAGTTTATTAAAACCTGAACATACCTCCGACTTGAGACCAACTCAGGTTGATCCCCCTGTACCATTGCTAACTGAAGGTGAACAACATTTTGAAGTTAAAGGAATTTTGGATTCTCGAAAACGAAGGGGTCGACTCCAGTATTTGGTTGCTTGGAAACATTTTCCTCCTTCCCAGGCTGAGTGGGTGAATGAGAAGGATGTTAGAGCTCCTACACTTATCAAGGCATTTCGTACTAAATATCCTGATAAACCCTAAAAAATTAGTATGTTACTGTTGCATGTATAGTTTCTATTACCTTCTATTTTTATCTTTTTTAGGACTAACGTCTCTTTTCTAGGAGGGCTGAATGTCAGCCTTCAAGATTTTCTCCCTTTGCTTTGCATCTTTCGGCTGTCATAAGTAACGGGGGGGGGAGAATGATTATGGGAAGTGAGCTGGAGGTGTTACAAACCAGAACTGTATAAACTGGGGGGGGGTACATTCTTGCTTAGGTTTCTATCCTATGCTATGCGCAGCTGCCACCCTTTATCAAACTATGTCAAGGTCAACGGACAGAAGCCTCATCACCACTTGGAGATGCCCACATGATGATATACACAACTTTTAATTGGATGAGCCAATTGAACTATTGGGGTGGGAACGTTGCCATTACTTTGTATATGTGATTTACATGCCCATTTTCTCAGATTCTCAGATTCAGAATTCTTTTGTTGCTACCACTTGATTTCCAGTAAAAGATATCTTTTCTCTGATTAAAGGAGTCTAAGTATTTCTTTCTTGGATTTTGAATGGAGCACCAGCTGACACCTGCCCTTGATTGCTTTGGGTTAAACCTATTTCGGAAGACCATATCCATTTCCATTTGAGTACAGGTAGTCCTCGACTTACAATAGTTCATTTAGTGACTGAAAAAAGTGACTTAGGACTGTTTTTCACACTTACAACAGTTGTCACATTCCCCATGGTCACATGACCAAAATTCAGATGCTTGGCAACTAACGGTTGCAATATCCCCTAGTCATATAATCACCTTTTGTGACCTTCTGACAAGCAAGTTCAATGGAGAAGACAGATTCCCTTAACAACTGTGTTAAGAAATGTAATTAATAGAAAATCAAATTTAAAAAAAGAATCAGCTCCACCTCATTTAGGGATGGGTATAGATAGTACCATTGTAACTCTGAATGGTCACTAAATGAACTGTTGTAAGTCGAGAACTATCTATATTTGAAACCTCCCTTCCTTTGTACAAGTCTCTCAATATCATTCTGAAACTGGGCAAGGATATTTGCCACAAAACAAATGATTGCTCTTGAAAATTACAGTTTATTCTGTCACCAAAGAAAAAAAATTAATGTCCCTTTTTAAAAAAAAAACTTCATGTTTTTAAAAGCTTCTTGCTATTATTTGAAATTATTTGACATTTGGCATTTTTGCTTCTGCAGCTCCAGTTCAAACCAGAAACATGAATCAAATGATCGTATATCTGCATGCCTCTAATCATGAATATATTTTTAATAAAAGCTCCTTGAAAAAGCACAACCTTCTTCCATTTGAGCTCCATTTGAGCAGATTTTTGATCTGCTAATTGATCTGTTAATGGCACTGAAGTCACCCCAAAGATTTTTATCTATCTGCTGTTTTACTGTGAGGCAGAAATAATGTGAGGAAAACTTTAAATAGAAACAATTAACGCAAAATAAACTACACATTTTTCTCTCTTACCGTACTGCAGAATGCAGCGTGTAACTAAATCAAAGTTCAAAGGGCTTGGTTTTTTTTTACAGAACAGTAAGGAACTTTTGAACTGCCTTTAAGGAGGAAACACACTTAGCTTTTGATTTTGTTTGATAGAACCAAAGAAAGAGTATGTAAGAAGTCAGGACTATTACCATAAAAGTAGATTTGCAGAGCGAGGAGATTTTCTTTTCATAATCATCCTCTTCCAACAAAATAGAAAGCAGATGTTTGCTGTCTTTTTCTGAACATGCTCCATTATTAACGAACCTAAACCCAGTGCAAGAAAATGGCTGCAAATAAAGTATCAGCACAGAAAAACTTTTATGGTAGACCAGCTTTGCATTTTATTATTTATGGTAAATGAGTTCCTATAATCCATTAAAAACTACAAACCGTGATTTGTTTATTTGATTTATAGTCCCCCTCTTTCAAGAGCTCAAAAAGATTCGAGTGAGTATATCTTTTCATTTTATGAAAACAACTCTGTAAGTTTGGCTGGCAAACTCAACAATACCTGTTGAGTTTCCATCAGAATATTGGTTTTAATTTGGCTCCCCAACGCTGAAACTTTTTATAAACCAACAAATTCATTTGCACAACACATTTTCAGCCTACACAATAAATAAATCCAGTTTGAGTTTGTCAATAACAAGCCATAATCTAGGCAGCAACCTTATCAAATTGATACCCAAAAGACAGATGACAATTTTAATTTTCAGGATTCCCAAATAGCAGGGTAAGATATTGCATTCCTCAAAATGAATTTTTTCTGGAGCTTCATGAGAAAAGTTGATACATATTTAATTTTGTAATAGAATGCAAAATAATTTTTAATAGTGTAAAGGCATTTCTCATTTACCAGAGACAACTTTCCTTTACAATGATATAGAAGTATTTTGACTGGTTTCTTTAAAAAAAATAACACAGTAAATATGCTAGTATCAGAGAAATGATAAATAAATCTTCAGCAATACTCCAAGTTGCTTTCTTCTGAATCTCAGCATAGAAAGCCTTCTTGAATTTCTGGTGCAACATGGCTTATTTTTACTGTCAGATATATCCATTGTAACAGTAAAAAAAGTGCTGCCCCAAAGCTACTTTTTCCAAAAGGCAACTGGACTTTCTTAGTTTATTTTTTGAAAACTTTTTGCTTCATATTCAAGAAGCTTCTTCAGTTCCATTTGTATGTTTATTGGAAAAGCAGGGAATAAAAAAAAGGAGACATTCATGCATTGATGATGTCCTCTTCTGAAGTCATTACCAGCAGGTACAGTAGCTCAGTAAGGAGATGTTCATAACTCATAACATATTCAGTGGTAGCTTTTTAAAAATGGCAACTGTTATATTCTGGGCATGAGTGCAAGTAATTGAGACGAGTCAGTGACTTAGTGAACTTCAACTCTTTATTAAGAATCAGAAACAGAGAGCAAAACCCTTAGGCAGCAGTAGCCCTTTTATAGAGCTAGCTACTGATCTGTTAACCAATGACCTGTGTTCACATGCTTAACTTTTGGCCAATGAAAGATGTTAAACTAGTAGCCAATCAGGTTGCTCCATGAGGACCAATCCCAGTTCGCTATCCAAGGGCCAATCCAAAGTGCAGGATTTCAAGCCTGCTTAACATAATGTTAATAAGTTTATTAAAATGGTTTTTTATTAGTTCATAACAGCAACCTTACACATTTTTCCATAAACGTAATTTCTACTATTGTCAGTACTCCCTGGAAACTGCATATACAATGATTATCTAAAGATATGTTGAAATAATAGATTTTTAAAAATCCAGATGAGAGGATATAAGTTGCTCTACATCAATCATATAAAAATTACATGGATGTACCCATATATTCAATAAATATCTATCTGCAAGGCTTCCTGCCAATCAGCCCTGTTTTTAGATTTTCTCAAGCAACAATTGCACTTTTATCAGTTGGACTGATAAAATAATATTCATAAACATAAGAAGTCAACAAGCTGGTTAACTTAACATAATTCAATTAATAGGAAAGTATGGCTTCATACATGTTCTCATCTTCATAATACAAAATTAGGCTATACAACAGTGTGCTTGTGCAACACAGTACAATATTTTAAGCACACTGCACCTTTTAATATACAAAGTACTTTCCAATTCAGCCATTTCCAGCTTAATTGGAGGTCATTTTATTTCTGCTTTGACTATGACATTTCCTTTCATTTTATAGACTGGATGCTTATCTTTTATTTCTCAGCTTCACAAAATATAACAATGCCTGATGTAAGATAAGCTAAAAGGGAAGAGGAATAAATTGTACTTATTGTCTGCATGAGGCACTTCATTATTTGTAAAGGAAGACAACATTCATAACTTAGCTATTCTGGAGTTACATATGCCTTTGCCTTAAAAAAAAATCTCACAAAAAACAAAATGCAGGTGTCAAAATAATTTCGAGACTTAATCATGCTTAGCAAATGACTGGTCTTTTCTTCTTTGGGTTGGGAAAAGAATTTCCCCCTGGGCTTGAACTGATCCTCATAGCAAATAAGAATGTGAATGCTAAAGAAAGAGTTGAAGTAAGGATTATTTCAGCCCACCTACTTTTTTCAAAAAAAGTTGAATTATATGCCAGTGGGCAAGGCAAGTCTGTTGCTATTGCTCATGGAAGAAAAGAGAGTAGCTTGCCAGTTTGATTAGTCCCCATACTTTCATAAGTCTTTTGGGTCAAGGAATATTAAATCTCTTAAATCACACAATTAGCTAAATATCCTGATAATACTAGAGGCAATAAATGGAGCAACAATACTGTGTTCCCCAAGAAGGGAGAAGCGAGTGGAACATAGTATCAGCTGTACTCAAATACTTACAGAACTGAAGGATAAATGAGGGCAGACAAAATTTGGGAGTGTACTTATGTCCTTTATACTGATATAAACTTCACAGTGTTCTTCTGAATTCACTTGCTGCATGAAGAATCAAAACCTCAGTTCTTAGTGTCCAAAGAGTCATCAAAATGAAGGCTGACATTGAAATAAGTGCAGAGGTGGGATTCTACCGGTTCGCACCTATTCACTAGAACCTGTTGTTAACATTCTAAGCAGTTCAGAGAACCAGTTGTTAGAAGAAATTACTGGCCTAATCCTGTAAGGAAGGCAGGAAGGAAACATTCTAGTGTTGCTCACAGAAACTGCCTCTCCGTTAACCCTTATTACATTCTTGGCAGGACTAGACTTCCTATCTCAGGAACGTCTCTGGAGTTTTTTTCCCCTCCTTTGCTGGTACTTTGCTTGTGTGGAGTGACCATTCAAAGTTACAATGGCACTGAAAAAAGTGACTTATGACCATTTTTCACACTTACAACTGTTGCAGCATCCCCACAGTCATGAGAGGCCAGGTGAGGAGATGCGTGCCTTGATGTGAGTGATATTGAGTTGGCCACACCCAGCCAATAACATGACCACCAAGCCATGTCCACCCAGTCACATGACCACCAAGCCACACCCACCACCTAAGCCATGCCCACAGAACCAGTTGTTAAAAATTTTGAATCCCACCCCTGAATAAGTGCCTATTATCCTACTCTAAAAAGCTTATTTCATCTGTTTTATTGGCCATTGCATAAGAGATTGCCTCCCTTTATAACCACTGAAAACCGGAATTTGAAAAGTAGTGGCAGATCGGTCCCATCTGTGATATCTTACTGCCAATCTACTAAAATTGCCTTCATAAATGTGTGCCTTAATGGTTGTACACAGCCAATATTTAGATTAGCTCTTTATCTCTGACTTATCACCTTTTCTGCATGTGCCTAATTTACATATGTGGATTCGGAAGAACTGTATTATCAGGCTTTAGACAAGGTCATTTTGAAGGTTTGTGGTCTAAAATGTCCAATAATAAAAATTTGCTATGGCCTTGTTGCTAGGTTTGTGGCTGATACATCCTAATACATTGAAAACGCCA